AGAGACCTATCAAGCTAAATCCCTAATTTCCTAAATAAATAAAATCCCAAAGGAAATAAAATATTCATCTACTAAGTAGGAAAAGGAAATAAAGCAGAATAATAAAATAAATAGGAAAATAATAATCAAACTAAAGATGGTAAACGATCATATTTGTCCATAAATGCCATCACGATCTCGTCTCCATCAATCGCCTTCCTTCTCGCCGGTTGAATGTCGTGCACCTACAAAGAACTCTCACACCGGAGGGGTTTTCTGGTGAAGAGCCTCTGAAGCTTAAGTTAGTGTATGTTCAATCAATTCTCAAGAGTAAGCAAAAGAATGATCGTGTTGAAGAAGAAAGGCTCACCCCCTTTATATAGGGGTGAAATACCTGACCTAGGGATGCCCAGATTTGATGAGCTATCTGCCCTAACTGCCCGTCCGTACTACGCGTGTGTTAGAGGTAGCCGTCGCCACTATCGCCTGCGTCAATCCTTTTTGGACGCGTGTCCTCCTGCACATGGGGTAGGCTGTCAGAGGTGGTTATCGCTATCAACCACTGCCTTCTCGACACGTGTCCCCCTACACATGGGGTAAATATTCTTCTGGAATTCAATTAGAGGCTCTTTCACGCGCCTGTGCCTAGGCCGATCAGCATGGTGTTAAGTCCTCGAAGTGGTCGACCTATCGAGGCCGATTGAACTGCTCGATCATTCACCTGGTCGAAGGATCGGTTGGTCGACTGGTGAACTGCTCGATTTCTTTAATTTCCTTCTAATACGACCTCCTCGACCGGTCAATAAACCGGTTTAGCCCTGTGGGTATAATATCCCATATCATCTAGTCCCCCCACTCTGGTCGAGTCTGGATGACTCGATATAAGAGTGAATTTGTGCCTATCGACCTCCTGGACCGCATGGTGTAAGATATCGACCATCTGATGGATTTCCCGCTTATTTTTCAAATAACACCTCATTAATTGCCAGAGATGGGGTCACCTGTCACATGTCCTTTCTGCCGCGCCTACTTTTCTGCCACGCGTCGCGTCTGCCGCATCTGTCAGTCCCTTTAATGATAGCGCGTCCTCGCATAACGCGTCTATTTTGAGTACCGTGTTAATTAATGCTCCCCTAAGTCAGATCTAGTTTTAATCCAACGGTCCTGCTCTTCCAACCCTTTAACTTTCCAAGTATAAATTCGGTACTTAGCGAATTTTCTTAGTTTGCAATTTCGAACTCTCTTGCGCCCAAAATCTTTTCTGCGAAAACCCCCATCTCCCTCGGTGATTTCCCTGCAATTTTTGAACCTTATCAATTCTCCTGTCCACGATCATGAGTAAGTTGCTCCTTGCCTGATTTTCACTCTTCTTATACTTGAGATTTTACGTTTTGAATTTTCTTCTATGTGTTGATGTTGTTTTGGTTTTCGAATGGGATGTCTGGAGTTTGCTGATTGAATGTTTTGAATGTGTATGTCCGTCTGTTGATTGTTGTAACTTTCGTCCTCTCCCTTTGAAATTCTCACGGAATTCCTGTTTGCTTTTCTCCAATTTTTCCAAAATCGCCCTTTTTGCAGAACCCTAATTTTGAAAACCTTCTTCCTCTTTCCCCTTTCCTTTTTTTTTTGTCACAATTCCCTTTTTTGATATTGTTCCTTTATTTTTTGTTTTCAGATCCTGCTACTTCGACCACCTCCTCCGACTCAGTTCAAATCTTGCCCTCAGCCCTTGAAGTTGTTCCTCTTTCTATCCTTCGGCCCGACGATACCGTTTCCATCCGTGTATTTGCCGCCCATATTGCTTCTTCTAATTCTGGGGAAACTATGGACAACGTTCCTCTCCGCCATTGTCGACCTCCCCTCGGTGGTTTAGACGAGCCCGAGGAGGACGAGATCGTCTCTCCTCAACCCACATCTGCTCCTTCTTCTTCTCAACCTGGTAATTCTAACTCTCCTTTCCATAAATCCTCGACCAAAAAGCTCTCTAAAGCCTATTCGAGGCGTTCATCTTCTACTTCTCTTTCCCACCCTTGGTATGATCCTGAGAAGATCGGCCAACCTCTCGGTTGGGCGTTCTTCAGCTCTTCTTCTTCTGATAAATACGATCGTCCCCCGAGGGACTGTTATACCTTTTTCGAGATCTAGTTTAAGCTTGGCCTTCGCTTTCCTCTATGCCCCGAACTACTCCAGATTTGTGAATGGTTTGGGCTTTCTCTGCACCAACTTCCCCCAAATACTATTTGCTTTATGACCATCTTCATTATCCTTTGTCGCATTCGTTTAGGTCGATTCGACCTAGACTTCTTCCATTATTGCTACGTCCCTTCTAAGCAAGGTCGAGGCCTCTATTTGAAGAGCCGCAATGGCGCCCACTTCATCAACGATATCCCTTCTAATCTCCCCAAGTGGAGTGATAAGTTTATCTTTGTCCGTCCCGATGCTCCTTTTCCTTGGCTATCCGTCCCTTGGGTCAAGGAGGTTTCGCGAGAGGCGGCTTCAGCCCCTCTTCTGGTGTAGAATAGTATTATTATTATACGGCGGTCGTGACATGCGGCGACGGGGCCCGGTCTTCGTGAATGGCAACGATCAACATGACGACATAGGCAAGCGCGAGGAAGCTTCCATCGTCGACGGATATCGTGCTCGACGCGATTGGGAATTTTTTGGTGATTATGGTCGATGGGAGGGCCCGTTTCGTGTAGACATCCCCGAATTTGACGAAGAGAATGTTGACGGGCCATTGTACGATGGTCCTCCTGTGTTTGATGAAGGGCCCGAGGAGGTCGAGGAGTGTCTTACCAGCGAAGTGGACGGTATCTACGACGGTCCGCCTATTTTCGATGAAGAGCCTGTGGGGCCCGAGGTGATGCTTTCTGATTTTGGCTTGTGTGAGCCACTGGAGAAATATATGTTACTAGAAGTTGCTGATTTTATTGCTCCATACTCTAAAAATGAGCACCACGGGCATTTGGGCGTAGAAACTGCGCTACAATAGTGGAAACGCAATCATCGTTCATTGGCATGTCGCAAGATAATAAATTGGAGACCATGTTTGAAGTTCGAAGAACAAAAAATGTCTTATGAGGCTAAAGATCGGATCCTCCATTTGTTATGTGAAGTTGAGCGATGTTCAACCTTCGTGTTCGACCGGGGAAAATGACGGGATTTGCTACCATGAGTTCGACACCACACGCCGGCCACGAGAGCGCATCGGCTTCGAGGGCGAAGCCTTCCGAACCGGGGGAGAATGGTGTAGAATATTATTATTATTATTATTATTATTATTTTGGAGAATAAGTTAGGAATTAAATATTAGAAATCTTGTCTTGTAGGACAAGTTAAGAATAATGTTTAGGAGTCTTATTTAAAGGGCTCCCCCATCTATTGTTTTATTCAGTTGAATATGAATTAAGAATTGATGTTGTGAGTTTTTACGTGTTTTACGAGAGAGTATCTCGTTTACTCGTATTCTTCTCATTCGTTCACGCTTCCCCTACATCAGAAATGCTATTGGGTACAGCAAACTCACAACCTCGATCCATATGGAAGCTGGTTTGGCGTGTTCGTGCACCTCAGCGAGTCAGAACTTTCTTATGGCTTGCACCGAAAGAAAAACTACTTACCAACATAGAGCGAGTTCGAAGACACATTTCGGTCACGGAAGGATGCGATGTGTGTGGGGAGCAAGAATCAGTCCTCCATACTTTACGAGACTGCCCAAACGTCAAGAAAGTGTGGCACAGATTATTACCGGCAGATCGAGCCATAATTTTTTTTCGGCAGCCACTGCT